GTAGGTGCTATATAAATGCCAGCTATTATTATTGCTAAGATGAAATTTAACAAGGATAAATCTAAATTCCTGCATTTTTGTTCAAAAAAATCAACTGTACAGATTCAAAAGAGAATGCCAGACAAGGCAATAACTCATATGAAAAAGACCCAGAATTTTCAGTTGACATCATCATCATCATCATCATCATCATCACAGTAACTAACTTTATATAGCACTCACTGTGTGCCAGGCACTGGGCTCATCACTTTACACATGTTATTTCATTTGATCCTCACAACAACCCTGGGAGTTAGGTGCTATTATTATCCCCAGTTTACAGAGGAAGAAACTGAGGCCTTTAGGATAAATTAATTATGATTAGGATTCCTTATGAGAGTGCGGATTGGGACATGTATGGCTAACCTATGCAAATTTTTTTTAAAAAAGACCCTCATGCTACCCTAAATGCTGCAGTCGATGCTCTTTGTCAAATTAATCCCCTCCAAAAAATTAATAGCCACGCATTCCATTGCAATGTTTCCAAGTGACAAGAAGTCCTCTTAGCTGCGGCCATTTCTACTTCTGATTCCCAATGAGGAGAAAGGACCGCCTTTGAAGAGGGAACACTTGGGTTTAAGGAAATGCCCAGCAGAGCTTAGGAGACCCAAGATCAAAGCCCAGAGAGTTGGGATCAAATTGTGGTGAAAGAATTTACTGGTCAGAGAGATTAGTGCCAAACAGCCAATGGAAATCAGCCTAGTTGTGTTAGGTAGGGAGAAAGCCTAGCCTTGGTAATATTCAGAGGAGCAGCTAGATGCAGCCACATCTTTTCTGACTTCAAGGCAATTAAACACAAATACCACTTCAGCATCCTCATGTAAATAAATAGTGTGGGGCACTCTAAAGTGTTTTTTAAAAGATCTCACAAAATATAAATGGCTCTCATAAACTTTAACCCACAGGCAGCATAAAATTTCTAGTATTTCTTTAGTGAGCCATAAATATTCTATTTGTTTTCTCCTTTCACAACAAGACCAGACATTTATAGAGAACTTCAAGGTTTGCAAAGTACTTTATCTCTCTTTCTCTCTCTCTCTCTCTCTCTCTCTCTCTCTCTCTCTCTCTCTCTCTCTCTATATATATATATATATATATATATATATATATATGTGTGTGTGTGTATATATGTATATATGTATATATGTATATATATATACACATATATACATATACATATACATATAATCCCACATATTTGAGCTTCACAGCAACCCTTTAAATCAAGTGCTATTATCATCCCTACTCAACCAATGAGGCAACTGAAGCTGAGAAAAGTTAAATGACTTGTCAAGGGTTACACAACTATTGTCTAAGATTGAAACTCAAGTCTTCCTGACTCCAAACCAGTGGTTCTCAAAGTCTGGCCCAAAAGTGTGGTCCAAAGTGGGAGTCCCCAAGACCCTTTCAAGGTGGTCCATGAAGTCAAAACTATTTTTATACTAATACTAAGCATTTTAACTTCTAAGATGATAAATATTAATAAGAGTAACCCACAAAAACAAAAGCTCTTTAGGGCTTTCAATAATTTTTAAGAACATTTGTTGCTGTTCTTTCAGTTACGTCCAACTCTTCCTGAGCCCATTTGGGGCTTTCTTGGCAAAGATACTGGAGTGATTTGCCTTTTCCATCTCATTTTTACAGATAAGGAACTGAGGCAAGCGGGATTAAATAACTTGCCCAAGGTCACACAGCTAATACTTGTCTGAGGCCAAACTCAAACTCATGAAGTTGAGTCTTTCAGAGTCTAAGCCCAGTGCGCTATCCACTGCACCACCTGGCTGCCTTTTAAGAACATAAAGGGATCCTAAGACTAAAAAGTTTGAAAAACACTGGACTGTACTATGCCCTACAGGCCATTTAAGCCTCCTAGTATGGAAAATTCCCATTATTTTATTCTCCAGTATCCATGGATGATTCCTAAATACTGTGGTCAAGAAAAATTGCTGCTTTTCACCTCAACCTGTTCTAATTACACCATAACTGCTCTAATAGAGTACTGAGACAACTCAAAGTTCTTACATTGAAGAAGCCCTTTTGTTGTTTTGACCCAGAACTAATTTAAAGTCAATGCCTTGAATAAATAGACTACAAGAGAGGACACATCTTCCACAGATAAATATTTACAGAGGCACTTGAACAATTACCAAAGGAAAATCAGATTGTCTTAAATAGTCTCCTTGGAGCCACCATGTTATTTTAAAAGCAATAATGTTTGTAGTAAAAATATTTTGTTTTCATCAGAAATAAGTAACATTTAAACATTGGATCTTCTCCAAGAAGAAACTCAAGAAAATTGGCCTGGAAATTAGAAGGCTGAAATTCTAGGCTCTGTTCTAATCACTACATTACTCTGTGATTGTAAACTAGCTGCTAATAATCTATTGGCTACTGTTTTTTCCAACAGAAAACAGAAATGCAGTACTGTTTATGATCCATGACAATTCCAGAGGACTCATGATGCTATACACCTCTAGAGAGAGAATTGTTGAACTCTGAGTACAGATTAAAGCACACTTTTTTTCCTTTATTTTCTTGCTTTGTGTGTGTTTGTGTTTTCCCTTGCAACATGACTAATATGACTTCACATGTGTAATTGATATCATATTGCTTACCTTCTCAAGAAGAGGGGGAAGAACAGGAGGGTAGAAAAGAATGTCAAAATTTTTTAAAAAACGAATGTAAAAGTTTTTTTACATGGATGTTAAAATTTAACAAAATATTTACATGTAAAAATGTAAATATTTAACAAATTTAACAAAATGTAAATTTAACAATTTAACAAGATATAAATATTGAACAAAATAAAAGCATATTTTTAAAAAATACTCCTATTTGTTCTAGTTCTAGGAGGATGCTTCTCATTTTGACTCTTCCATATGCTGGATGGAGGAAATGAAAGGGATAGTAGGATGGAAAAAGGAAGAAAGGAATCACCAGAAGTAGAAAGCTGTGTGACCTTCAGTAAATCACTTTCCCTCTGGGCCTCACCTGTCAAATGAAGCAATTGGATCATGTCACCTTCCAGGTTCTTTTCAGCTATGGTGGTCTCCTCTGACCAGATATGTGACTAGTCTCTCAAAGTCAGAAGTCCTCCTTCTGGCCTCTTCTTTGTCAAAACATTAGCCTAAGGCAAAGTAGAAAAGAAGTTGGAGCTTGTATTCCTGGCTTATATAGTAAGCCCCAAAGAAACCTTCTAACCTTCAGAGGAAACCTTTGCCAACACATCTGAGACTCAGATTGTTAAGAATGCTATTGGTGATGCCTCTAACAAAGTGATCATACCCTTTGACACTGCAGTACCACTACTGACCTTGAGGAGGTCAAAGACAGACAGGCCCTTGTGAAAGGCAATATATTCACAGCAGCAATATTCACACAGCAAATTCCTGGAAGCAAAGTGGGTGCCCCTCATTTAGAGAAGAGCTGAAAAAAAAATCACAGATATGAAGAATTCAGGGAAACATGGGGAAATCGGTATGAATGGCTGCACAGGGAAGGAAGCAAAGTCAAGAAAATGACTATGCTATGATTCCAATAATGGAAGTAAAGAGAAGACAAAAATGAAATTCTACGTTCAGTGGTTATAATGAAATTTGAACATTACAAAAAGCAATGAGGATGCACCTTCCTCCCTTCAGGAAGTTATTGATGCCATTTTCAGTAGGTAAGTGGTATTTTGGGGCAAAGACCTGGTCACCACATGCTAATTATGGCTCTGACATGCAATTATTATCTCAGATCTATAAATGGAGAGCTGAGAGCTAAGGTATTGGATATACTAACAAAGCAGTAAATTTAGGATTGATATATTTAAGGAGGCTATATCACATTATAGTCTCATATGGTAAAGGAACATTTTATTCTTTTGTACCAAAGTGAGGACAGGAGAGGACTAATTGACCACCTACATGGTGGTGGTTTGAATTGTTGCCGAAGGGAAAACAAAAATCTACCAACCAACCATGATACCCCAAATTCCTAGCATTAAAACCATTTCTCTTGTTAAAATACTGGCCCCTTCTCAAATGCACACAGGTTTCTTAAAAGTGATAAAATGCATTGGCTCATTTGTACCCATATTCATAGCATTCCTTTGGAGGCACTTTATATTTTATGAAGCACTTCACATGCATTGCTTCATTCAGTACTCATACCAACCTTACCCGGTAAACAGTGCCTCTGTAATTTCCCCAATTTGCATATCAGAAAGCTGTAGGAAATGACTTTCTTAATTTTGTGTAGTTAGGGAATGGTAGAGCTCGGATGTGGACCCCAGCCTTCAGAATATAAATCCATTGTTTTTTCTATTATTTCACTGTTGCCTTACCCTGTCTCCTGGATTTGTTTATCAGATTAGTAATCAGAGACTAGGACCCAAGGGCAAAAGGCACTGAACAGGTAAATTTTGCCGGGAAGTCAGAACAGTCTGGAGCAGGGGGTGCTCTCAAGGAGGGGAAAGGCAAGGAGGCAGGGCTAGCTACCTGGAAGATATGACAGCATTAAAGGATGGGGGAGGGGAAGGGAACCCAGGAAGGAGAGAGAACAAGAGAGAAGAGGTACATGAGAAGTACCAAAAGCAAGCATAGTCCACACAGCAATTGTTTTTAACTTCAAAAATGCCATATAGAGAGGATATGTTGCTTGAAATTATTTTCTCAGCTAAGTACACAAGTAAATGTAAAGGAACAAATGTTTTTTCGCCTTGTTTCGGTAACTACCGCATGGTTTAATGATACCAATATCCGTGGAGACTGTGTAGCAGAACACGCGTTCTAAACTAGGCTGTTTGCGCAGGGAATCTGACGTCCGTGCCGGGATGACAGTATAAACCTTGCAAAGGGGGTGGCTATTTTTTTTAATGTGTTATTCATAATAATGAGCAGAATTAAGCTTCTACAGCTGCCTCGCTTAGAATTTTCTGGCTTAGCTGCCCTTGTAAGAAGTCAGGGTCACAGACTGAAGCTGTTTCCAAGCATTCCGTTTTTGCATTCAGCACAAGAAGAAGAAAAAAAAGAAAGCCCACAGAATGAGATCAAATTGCAAGCTCAAAACAAAGGTTTTCCTTCTCAGGCAACAGGGATGGTGAAGTTTCAGTTGACCCAGCCCTGGAGTAGCACGAGCACAGATGGGCTCGTGCACAGCTTCTCGGTCCCTCTGCCCCGAGATTAATTGGAGCATTTGTTCCACGTCACAACCGAATGTGACCACGGACTCACGTGACTTTTGGTAAGGGCAAAATGTACGTCACTCGATGATATGTAGTCTGAGCATCTCTTGTAACGTTTGGTTGCGAATATCAAAGACGTTCTGTTTTAGCTGTGCGCTGCACGGAATGAGATGATTTATCCCAGGGTTGAATCAATATATTTCTATCCAAATGTCATGAGTTGATTAAGAATTACTTCCTAGCAAAAATTCAATTTGGAAGAAATTAATTAAGATAAGAAAGCCAGACAACCTTATTAAATATATCCATATTCTGTACATCTATGACAGCTTATCTAAGTAAGGAGCACTGCCAGGAGCTCATTTGTTTTTCTGAAGGTATAAACTGTTCTTTGTACAATTGTAATGGGGGCAGGGCAGGAGTGATGATTATCTAATGAGAAACCAATCTTTAAAGCATACTTTGAGTCGCCCTTTCCTTGGGGGTTAGATGGAGCAGGCAGTGTATTCCCTATCTGTTTCTAATCCACTAAATTATGGCTTGGTGAGCCTACTTCTAGCCATGGGGAACTGAGAGGCTGCTATTGTGAAGACAGATAGCCTTCTAATTAGCTAAGGAGCTGGAATTGAGGGTGCATGCAAAAAGGTTTGAACTGAATTTTGGCTTTCTTTCCTCCCCCCTCCCCCCTTTTAAATGAGAAGAACTGCTGAGATTCATCAAGTTGGGAAGGGACATTAGCTACCTTATTTTCCCATCCAGTCATCATATGTGTGTGAGCACATGGAACTCCAATTTCTTCTGTTTATTTTGGGTTTCTTCTTTTCTGATCTTAGATAAATGAGTACGGAGAAATGGAAATGAACAGGTTAGGACTTTATGCTCTTTGAAAGGTGAGACGAGCTATCAAAAGTCCATTCAGTAACTGTAAGCGGGTCACCAGAGCTAGAAGCCAAGTCCATAACACCCCTTTGTAAAAGCTAATTGATATCAGATGGTTGATTGATGTGGGGGGGGGGACACCTGATGAGGGGTCCTGGGTGACAGTATAAAGCCAAAGCCCCTCAGGGTTACTCCTGGAACCTGGAGGGAAGGACTAGTCATCTGCCCTCTGGTTATTCAACCTGCCAATATGAGTGAAGATTGAAAGGATGGGGACACACATAGGAGAAATAGACAATCGTTTTCCTTCTTCCTTTGAGTATCACTTGAAGTAGTTCTCAGTTTCTTCTCTGTACTCCTTCCTTAACATTATTAAGTTTGAACATGCTACAATTGTCTTCTGTTGGTTAGGGTTTCATGCACAAGAATAGCATGTAACCAGGAGGATTTAGTAAATATTTTATTTCCTCCCCATTACATTAAAAAACAATTTTAAGTCTTTTTTTAAATTTTGAATTGTAAATTCTCTCCCTTTCTTTCTCTCTTTTTCCTTCCTTGAGACAGTAAGCAATCTCATATAGATTACACGTGTGCAATCATGTAAAACATATTTCCGTATTAGTAATTTTGTAGAAGAGAAAGAGTGAAAGAAGGAAGGAAGGAGAGAAAGAAAGGAGATAGGGAGGAAGAAAGAAAGAAAGTGAAAAATAATATGCTTCAGTCTATATTCAGATTCCATCGCTTCTTTCCAGGAGGATTTTTTTAAAATAAGGGATTTGGAGCAGGAGAAGACTTCTGTGAAGTGATACAGAGTGGAGAAAAGAGAAAATGGGGGGGGGGGGATTGATTCAGTGACTGCAACAATGTAAATTAAAAGACAGTAAAAGGAAGCTGAACTCTAAGCAAATGAATTATGAAACTAGAGAGAACACATAATAAAAATACTTCCCTCTTTTAATCTGATAAGTGGGAGCAACCAGAGCAGAATGTTGCATACGTTGTCAGACTAGTCACTGTTGATCATTTTTGCTTAACTCTTTGCTGGTTTGTTTTGGCTATAAGGCGGAGTTCAATGGGAGAGGTAGTTATACATAAAAATGACTGTGATGTAAAAAGTTAAAGGCATCAATAAAATCTTTTGGTTTTGAGTCTCCAATAGAATTTAAATTCCTCCAGGGCAGAAATCATTTTTCATTTTATCTTTGTATAGAAAAGATCATAATATGACTAAACTTCACAGAATATTCACTGTTGTGGAAAGAACACTTAAGAAAGAAGTTAAATTTTTCCATTTTAACCATGGGTACAAAGAACTGCAAAACTTCTAGAAGCCATTAAACCATGTTTAAAGCATGAAAATAATGGGATTTAAAGTCATTTTATGAAACAAATGCTATGACAGAGTTCAATAACCCGAAAGGAAGCTTTTGAAACACATAAAGTGCCCTATCTGATAATATATTTGAATGACAATTTTTCATGGGTGGAAGTTATTTTAATTACCATCCCTTTCCTATTCCAAATCAAAAGAGATAATTTAGGTTAAATGCTTTGCAAGTCTTTAAGCTATATGACTGTGAATTATCATCATCATCTTCATCTTCTTTTTCTAATTCTTGTCCTCTCATTATTATTATCTCTAAAGTCCTTGGCTTATTCAAAGGGCCATCAAAAAACCAGGACTATACTCCAGCAGTTTTAAAATATAAATAATGCTCTAAAGTCTAACTATACAACATAATTATGTTCCCCATCATTGGTCAAATTATCTTAAAGCTTGTTTTCTATACACCTTGAAAGAGTGAAATCAATTGGATATAAATTACCAAGGTTGTTCTTGAATTTAGAGGCTAAGGGCAAAGCACACTCCACTTCTCCCCCTACTCCCAACACTAGTAGCTTTCTATAAATGAAATCAGGTCAAAATGAACATCAATGGAAGCCTGAAAAGGAACAAAAGAAGTCCCAGTAAGAACATGGTTTGAATAGTGCATATGGAAAAATGGAATATCACAATTTGCTTTGCTTATAGTTCTGGTTATGGAGGGAGTGGGAAACTGGCTTGGCATACACAGACATATACATATATATGTATGTATATATATATAATGTATATATATATATATACACACACACACATTTATGTATGTGTATATGGAATATATACTCTATATACACACATATATATATATAAATACATAAATATAAAGAAATACATCTATTGGAGAAAGGAAATGGAGAGGGAGAGGGAGAGGGAGTTTACATACATGAACTTCAGGAGGGGTATTAGCACCATTTAGTACTGCCATATCTTTTAGTTCCCAATAACATAACATATTTAGCTCCAATAACATATTGAACAGAGCGCTGGACCTGGAGGCATGAAGACCTGGGTTTTATGTTTACTGTGTGACCCTGGATGAGTGATTTAAGCTTTCTTATCCTCAACTTTCTCATCTGCAAAATAAGGATAATAGCAATACCTACATGACAGAGTTGGGAAAATCAAGTAAGATTAGTTTATGCAAAGTGCTTTGTTAACTTTAAAGGGTTAAATACCTAACCGTGATTCTCTGGCCCCAGTGCCTAAATGCCAGGTGTGTTATATCTCATCTCTCTCCTAGGATTTTTCAGTACTCTTAGGTGGTACCTTCAAGTGGGAGAGGTTTCTCTTCTTTGTCATTGACTGAAGCCCCCACTTGTTGCACTCTCCCAATCTTAGAGATTCTGGAAGCCTGATTCCATTTAACTACTTAACAGTCAGATTAACTTTTACAAAGGAATACTTGTTTGAAAGGTATAGCAAAAGCCAAATAGTGACATCTCCCCACCCCCCAACATCTCAAGGGCTTAATTCTCCCCACACCTCTGGAGAAGAAGAGGGGCATTAAGTCCATAATTTAGCTCAGTTCCTACACAGCATTAATCCCAAATCCCAAGTTCAGTGCCCTCCATAGGCTTGTATCCAAGGACCCTGGGTTCTCTAGGAGTCCCTGATGGGTTGGTTATAACATCTGGCCTAGGATTCTGGTCTCCAAGATCCCCATGGTTTGAGTTCCCAGATCTAGAATTCCATTCTCTATACCTAGAACTGAAAAAGACAAATGAAAGAGACTAAATCCCAAGCTAATTTTTTCTCAGACAGAGGGCCTAAGGGAAGGAGACCCACAGGCCCTTCCTTTTCCAGTTTACTACATTGTTGTACTACATTTTGTTTTTTGTGTTTTTTGTCCTTCATTCTTGAAGAGGACCATGACATCAGGGAAGTAACGCCTGACATTCAAGTGAACTGGATTTAAGTGAGGGAGGGCTGTGCAAAGTCACCTGCCTTACTTTGTCCTCCAGAGCCATACAGGTCCAGAGTGGCAAGATGTAAATCAGGACTAAAGAGATGGACCCTGGATGCACTGGGAGACCTTGGCCTTTTTCAGCTAAGGTCTTTAACAGGTCTCAGTGATTAAGACTAGGTAAGAAATGAAGCAGAGAATGGCTTCCTTTGCCTAGTCAAAAAAAAAAAAAGAATCAGCAGAACGGGATATAAAAACAAAACAGTCCTTCCCTTCGAGAAGCTGGGGCGGGGGGAGTGAAGGGGTTGCAATAGTTTAATCACAGATTAAGTAAATACAAGAGATGTGCACAGTCCATTCAGAGTAATTTCAAGAATGGGGGACTAACATAGATATAGAATGAATGCCCTGGACTCAAGATCAAGTGAATTATAAACTTTTGTGAGTGAGGTGTAGTCAGCCTGAAAGGGTGAATTGGAACAAGACTGTGAGGACTTAAATGCCAAAGAAGGAGTTACTACTTGATGCCAAAGGCAACAGGCGGCCACCTGAGCTTCTTGCCCAGAAGCGATGTGGCTAGAGTTTATCTGGCAGGTGTAGGAAGGACAGATTGGAGAGAGAAGATACAGGAGCCAGGGAGACAAATTAGGGAATATTGCAATAGCTCCCTGTGGGAAAGGATGAAAGCCTGAACAAGGGTGGTAATGGCATGAGTGGTAAAAATGAGACAGATGACAAAGACTTGGAGGGAGGATTAATTCAAGACTTGGTCAATTAGTAGACCATGGAGGTAGGAGGAGTAAGAGAAACAGAGCCATGGAAAAGTCTTAAGTTATAAACCTCAGTAACTGCAGAAACATTGGGCTTGTTAGGGTTTTTTGTTTTGGTTTTTT